AGGTAGTTTTGTAGTTCTTTGATAATTTCTTTGTCTTTTTTAGTTGTTGTTACTTTCTTGTTGTACCAATATTTAGTTTGTTCAAATTGTGTTTTATTGTCTATATATGATGCTAATTTTAATAGTTCAATGTATTGTTTACTACGGTATAGTTTTAATGGGTGTAACTTTAGTAACTCTTGCTGTATTCCTGCTTCTGTATCTTGTAATAATTTATTTAGTTTCTTAAATATATCAGATATTTTCTTTGCTACTGTTGGTTTTAATTTTAGTGGGAAATGTTCTTGTGAATGTATTATAAGTTCAGGGGTTTCTTCTAATGGTTCAGGGCACTGCTGTGACTTTTCTTTAGTATGTTTGTAAAATTCTTTTGTTAGGAAATGTCTTCGATCTAAAAGTTGTTGAAGGCTATGTTCTCTTTCTTCTACGTCTTTAATAGCTCCTTCAGTTAATAATAACGTTTGAATACTAAATAATATGTGGTGAAGTGTTTCTCCAATTTGGTTTGGGATTTGGTTTTCACTACTTCTAAAATGTTTAATTACTCCTTGTGCTGTTCCATAAAAATATTGGTAATAATCTGATATCTGTATTATAGTTTTTTCTATATCAGGTGTTGTTTTTCCATTGAATGCTCTTGGTACTTTTAATGGTTGAGTTATATAATCAGCTGCTTCGCTAGCTGCTTTTAGTAGTACTAATACTAATCCTATTCTGTGGTTGTTAGTTGAACTTATTCGTTGTAACAATGTATCGATTGTTGCTTGGATATCAGCTTTGATATGAATAGTTTTCTGCTGGGTTGTTATTTCTTTTGCATATTCTAATCCTTTTTCATAATATTCATCATCAGGATATTCTGTTGGTTCTTCAGTAAAATTCCAAAAATAACAAAAGTTTCTTTGATAATATGTTAGTAATTCTTCTGTTTGTCGATTATTCATTTGTAAATATGTAATATTGATATTCTATAATTTTGCGTAAATATCTTTGATAAAGGTCTTCTAATAATTTTATATACAAGTTAAGCGTGAGATTTGATGTATGTTGTTCGTATTTTTCTATGAGTTGTAGCTGGTGATATACTATATTTGCTTGTTTAGTTAATCTCAAGTAATTATGATACTTGTAAGCTTCTTGTGGTTCAAATTTAGGAATTTTTGATATTTCATTTCTTATTTCTGCTCAGAGAGTTTGTTCGAGAATATTATATCTTGTTATAATTTCCTTGGTAGGTACTGGTTTTTGAGTTTCACTAATATTTCGGTACAAGTTATATTCTGCTTGTAAGTATGCGGGGTAATATTCCATTTAATAATACCAGTTGTTATCAAGTTCTTCGCTTGTTATAAGTTTTACTTCCGGTCCACTTATTTTTGGTATGAGTCCTGTTATATTGTATAAGGTTCGCTTTAATGTTTTTATGTAAAATTCTAAGGCTAATGATGCTTTGAGCCTACTATTCTCGTATCGTGTTATCCAGATTTTGATTTTATGTTTTCTTCGTATTAAATCTATTACGTATCCATATTTGAATAGATTTTTAATTTCTAATTCCTCGTTTCGATTTGTTTTGATACTTTCTTTTTGTTCTTCAATTAAAGAATCAATTACGTTATCTTGTAAATATTTAAGTTGTTTGAGTATTTCTTCAGTAGTACAATTTTCTTTTGTTTTATACAGTTTGTAATCTTCTTTTAAATATTCAGTTTGGATTTCCTCCATCCGTTGGGTAGATAATAATTAATGGTTGTCTGGTGCTAGATACTGCTTGTATTGCTTGTATCGTTACTCTTAATCTTGTAGTTACTTCTTCTTTGTTTTGTGCATCTAATCCTATAATAAGAAATAATGTATCTACAGTTTGGTCAAGTTGTGGTTGTGTTGGATAAAGTTGTGTTCGTGATTGAAGTATTTCTTGTTTGTATGCAGCTATAAGGCTTGTTAATTGTTCACTTTCAAATGTATTTTGTCATAGTGTTAGTGGTACTCGCTGGGGTAATATTCTGAGATTACTCCAATTAATAAGATCTCCTAATAATTGTTCAAATTTGACTTTGATGATCTAGATGAATGTAAAGTAATCTGCTATAGCTTCAATTGTATTGTCACTCATTCAATCTGATCCTTGGTATCTGTCATTCAGTATTTGTGCAAGACTATATGTTGCGTTGACAGTTCTTTCAGTTAAATAATTAATCTTTTTAGTAAGATTCCTTATATCTCGATTTATATGGGATGAGATTCGGAGATTAGTTATTTTCTGAGTATATAATTCTTTAAGATTATTTATTTTCGTACGAGTAGGGTTTAAGTATATGTTTGAGAATATTGCTTCTGTGAATTGAAGTAGTTCTCTTATTTTCTGTTGTTCACTACTTGTAGTTTCATCTAATTCTGGGAAGCGTTTATGGTCTGTTAAGTCGTTTGTTCTTATAATTCTTGAGTTTCTTATTCTAAAGTTTATTCGCATTTTGATAAGTTTGTCAAGATAAATTCAATGTCTTTTTATATTTATTTGGGTATATAATAATTAATTAGTTAAATGTTCTAGTACATTCTAGTTAGATTTAGTCATCTAATTTTTTAATGAATTCTTTATATGCTTCTTGGAATTCTTCAGTCATTGGTGCAGTTACTATTTCTTTAAATAGTTCATTTTGGACTTTAAGTTGCTTTATCCGTAATTTTTTCATATTACCTAATCTGGTTAAGTATTGCTCTTTCTATAAGTCATCAAGTTTCCTTTTTAGAATTCTGTTTTCTTGTTTAAGATTTTCAATGCGCTGGTTATGCTTATTTACTGTATTGATTAGCTAATCTACAGTTTCTTGTAAGGTTACTAACTTTTGATCTTCAGGATCATTAAGAATGTCCATTTTATCCTTATCAGATATTCCAGTTTTTAGGATTTTCCCAATATACCTAGCATGATTTTCAATTACTTCCTTATGATCTTCTAGGACACTTACTATTACTGTTTCATTATCTTCTCTTATTTTTAGATTATTGAAAATATAGTCTATCATATCAGTAGATCCTTCAGAGTTAGCTTCAGATATGTTATCTTCAGGTGAACTTTCATTATCACTTATTTTAATAATTTAGGAGTTTATTTCTTCAGGCTCTTCCGAATATGTTATACTCTTAATTTTTCCTTTTTTAGTTGGTATAGGTCTGTGTAAGTCAGGGTCATAACATTGTGGACAAAAGCTATACTTCAGGTCTTCATTTGGAGTTGGCTTTTGGCAATCATTGCAGTAGTTACAGTTCTTACACATGCGGTTAATTATTTCGATATCATCTCCTAATAAGAGACAACTTTTACAAATTGTTTCAAGTAATTCTGAGTACATTTTAATATACTTATTCGCTAAAGCTACTTGTTGGAAATTCTCCTTATTATACTCCGGAGGTTTAATTTCTTCAAGGGTTTGTGATTGAATCAAATCTTCAGGAGTTATTTGATGTTCCGGTAAGAGGTCTTGTGAGTCAAAGCCTCTTACTGGTGGGTAAGGGTTGTATACGGTTGATTCGTTAAGATCAGTTAGGTCTTCGTATGAATCATTCCAAATGTCATTAGTATGTGATGCTATAATGTAAGCATTCATGTAATATTTATAATGAATTGGCTTATTAATGTGGTCTAATTCAAGTAACTCAAAATAGGCTTGAACTAATCTTTCTATTAGAGATTCGTTAATAGAGAATCCAGGATATTTAGGCGCTCTTGTGTACGATGTCTAATGCGATCTAATAAATTGTAATTATGATTTGTGCTTACATCACAAATTACTAAGTATGCTATTAGTTCATCATCAGTACAAAAGAAGTGCTCTGTTTGCGGTAAATAGAACGCTTTTGTAGTTATAATTGGCTTATAACAGAAATAGCAGGTGGTTAGTTTTCCTTGCTTCTCAAAGAATTCGGTTGCTTCTTTGTGGTTATAATCAATAGAGAATTGTAATTCGTAATAGCCTTGACGACAATTCTTGCAAACTAAAACATTATCAAAATGTTCTAAATCGGTCTTATGTGGTAAGTAAAGTGATACATTTCTTAAAAGGTGTAATTCGGTATAGCCACAAATTTTATGACACTTGCAACAATGGTATGTGTTCCTTTCACTTCGCTTTCTTTTAGAAGTTTCGAAGTCTTGTTGAATTGCTACTTGAACTTTGATTTGATCACACTTACACTTTCTAGCTTGTTGTTCTTTTAATAATTTAATTTCGGTGCATTCTTCTTTCCTTACGTGGTCGGTAGATCCACAATGTTCGCAATAATCTAATTCAATTTCTTCAGTACAATGTTTAGCAATGTGTCTTTTCTTTTTGCAAGTTCTGCAAATAAGGGTAGGGCACTTATTGTTAAAATGGCCTTTCTTTCTGCAATTTCCACATGTAATATTGTATGGGCATTTAGTGCTATTATTATAGTGACCAGGCTTATCACAGTCTATGCAATACACATGGTGCATAAGCTTTGTTACAGGTGTTCTATTATCAAACCTTTTATTTCGGTTAGGGTTGTTAGGATAATTCTTACAGTTGTGACCTTTTTCTTTTTCGTAACCACAATAATTACAATAGTTTTTAGAGATTCTAGGTTTAGGGCTTTGTTTTCTATCATCGAACCAATCGAATTCCTTATTCAGGTTAATTCTACAGTTATGGGTAGGTGATGACTTATATTCATCACAGTCTTGACAATAATTTGGGCCTTTTTGATTCCAGGTGTTATTGCTTGTAGAGGATCCTTGTTGGGAGTTCATTTTCAAAGAATTATTCGGTTTACTGTTTTTAGTTATTGATTGTTTGTATAGATATTGTCTTAGGATGGTCAATTACGTTTGTTTAAATAAGTTTTGTGTGTAGTGGCTGGTAGAATATTCGAGTATGTTTTAACTAATTAAAGATTCATTCTACTTATTGATCTCATTCTGTTTTATCCCTTAATTGTTTTATCAATCTGATTGCAGATCAGGCGCGTTATCCACTATCTGATCGTTATTGCTGATCGATACTCTTTCAGTTATGCATAAACTATCTAAAAATGCATTAAAGAGGTTATCTTTATTTTGGCGTCTCCATATAAATTCTAGTAAACACTCGGGTAAGAACTTGTGATTTCGGGTTTTTATCTGTATTTGGCTTTTTAGAACTTGTCACGTTGCTTCTATATGGTTGGTGTGATATACAATTATATTTCCAGTTCTTGCATCTATATCTCAGACTGCCATTTCTAGGCTATGATTGATAGTGTGGTGCTCTATTTCTAACCAGTCATAAATATTCTGATATGCGGACTACATGTCAGAGTAGATAAGTGATTCTGGGTGTATATGGTTAGCAATCTTTTCTAATAATACTTTTGCTGATCTGTTTTCTACGATCATAGCAAACATGCGCTTTTCAGAAGTTCGTTCTACTCCTCCGAGGACCCATATGTCTTGGTGTGTTTCGGTTATTTCTCCGGTTTCAGAATTCTGTTCCTTTCATCGTTTTATTCTAAATCGAAATTCATCTATTTCTACAATAATATCTTTTCCTCTGATTAGTTTCTCATTTTCTTGTAAATTCAGACTTACTAATTCGCGGTAGATGTTTATCTATCTTGTGACTGTTCGGGGATTCAATCCTGTAAATGGTAGTATAGTCTCATGCTTTGCCTTAGTTAACCATAAATATCCTATTTCAAATGCTTGATTTATGGGTATCTGAGATCCCGCAAATATGGTATTGCTAAAGATAGATACGGTCTTTCTACATTCCTTCCGATTAGTACAAATAAAAAGATTCATTCTATTCTCAAAGCGTGTTTCATTTTGACAATTCGGACATGTTACTTGTCTTGGTAATATCTCCTTTTCTTGTAGATATGCAATCGTATCTTGCTCCCTTTTTAAGTGTTCATATAATTCTTTATATGGTGATATTCCATGAGTCATTTTTCTTTTCTTCAGTTGATCGTTTTCTTGTAAAAGCACGTAGTTAAGTTTTAGCTTCTTACTGGTCCTTAGTCACTTTGGTTTTTTCTATTAATTCGAGGTTATAAAAAGAGTCAGTTTTCCTTCAGGTGTTTATATACTTAATTACTTATGTATCTTGTCTATCTGGTTATCTGAATATCACTACTGGTTTATCACGTATGCCAGATCGGAGTAGTTAGATACTTCTGGCTACTCAGATCGGCATATATAGTAGTCGAGTTATTGTTTCTTAGGTTCTATTGTTAATACATCACTATTTTTCATAGTGACTTGCTCGCTTTTCGTTGGTTGTCCTGTTGCACGTGATATATAATCTGCTATCTTGTTTTTAGATCCAGGTATACGTTCTAGTTCGTAATTAAATTCTTGTAACTCTAGTAACCATCGCTCAATAGTCGAATTCTTGCAACCTTTTGTCATTGTTGTTATTCCAGTATTATCTGTTCATATCTTTACGTATCTACTTCCTATGTATGGTCTAAATGATTTAAGTGCTTCATATATTGCATAAATTTCTTTTTGTGTACTTCCCCACTTCTGTTGGGTTAAAGTTAATGTTTTCAAAAAGAATTCTATGACTTCTTCTTCACTCTGTGTCCACTGATCTGTTTTACTAGTATACTGTTCTTTTTGAATTGTCTTATAATGTTTGAGGTCAGGGTTAACTTGTTTTAATACTGCTCCAATACTATTATCAGATGCATCAGTTTCTATAATTAATTGGTATCCAAGTTTAGGATATGTTAACCAATGTGCTTCAAGTATTTTCGTTTAATAAAATCAAATGCATTTTGGCACTCCTCGTCTATTTGAACGGTGTGGTCTTCTTTAATAGATTATTTATTGGTTCTGCTATGGTTGGAAGGTTTTCTACAAACCTTCTAAAGTAGTTAGTCATCCCATTAAATGATCTAACACCTTTAACATCCTTTGGTGGTTGGAGTTTCTTCACTTCTTCTAACTTTTTAGCATTCGGATATATCCTTCCATGTTCAATTTGGTGGTTCAAAATGGTTGTTTTTGTTACTCCAAATTCGCATTTTTTAGGATTCATTATCATGCCCCTTCTTTTATATACTCGAACACCGCTTCGAGTTTTTCTACCATTTCTTGTACTGTATTTACTAAAATTGTATAATCATCCATATATACTGCTATATATGGTATATCTTTAAATAATTCAAACATATATCTCATCATATATGCTGGTGCTGTTTTTAATCCTATCGGCATCACTGTAAATCTGTATTTTCCTATTCTGGGAAAAAAACAAGTTGTTTTGTCTCTTTCATGTTCTTCTAATGGAAATTGAAAATATGCAGCTTTAAAATCTATAGTACTATAATATTTATATGCTGCTACTTTATGCAAAAAGGTGGGTATATATGGTATTTGGAAGCTATCGTCTTCAAGATGTTTATTTAATCCTTTATAATCTACTACACATCTTTTTGATCCATCTGGTTTTGGTAATATCATTATGGGTGATATACAGGCTGCTGTCGATGGTTCAAGGTATCTATTGTAAATAATTCCTTGAACATTGTATTTGATTTTTCTTTCTCTTTCTGTGACATTGGTCTAGGCATACGTTGTTGGTCATTCTTGGGTATACCTTCTAGTATTGATTTTTCTTTTAGCTTCAATCTTATTGGCATATTAAAGCATTCAGAGTTGAATGTTGTTGCTTTTTCTTCTTTTAGTCAGAAAATATCTTTATAGTATTTCTTGAATACAGGTTCTAGTAAGTTTCTGTATTCTGGGTTTGTTTTTTTGACTAAAAGCTTAAATCTTTCTTTTGGTTTCATTTTTTCATCATCATCTTCTTCTGGGTTTATTACTTTTGCAAATCTATATACTTCTTTAATATTCTTTAGATTTGCTATATGATACCCTTTTGGTATTTCGTATTTGTTATGTGTCCAATTAATAATTTGTATTGTTTTAACAGTTCTATCTATGTATCCATTTTGGATCATAGTTCTATTTTGGGCCAAATGTAATGGTGTCATTACATATCCTATATTTGGTACAATTGGTATTGCTGTAAATGTATACGGTTTTAATATTACTTCTTTTTTTGTATATATGGGTACTCCTGTGCCCATAGTTGGTAATATCATTCTTCTTATTTTATTAGGTATATGGCCTAACTCTTCATGTAACTTTAGATTACACATTTTCCTTTTCTGAGGTTTCCAGTATAATTGTTCTAAATTCATTATTTCGTCAGTATTATAACCATACTGATTGTTCTTCGGTTTTATAGGTGGTGTACCTCCTGCATTACTCTGCATTGGTTGTTCACTGCTGTTAGTTGATTTTATACTTGTTGAGCTAGAGCTAGTAGTTTCAGCTATTGATACTGCTGAACCCAGTGATAAAGGTGATATTTGTGGTTGGTTTGCTGATTCTTTTATCTGTACACATGGTGGTATACTAGATCGTCTGCCTTCCATAGACATTTGTCTATTTCTATAAAATTCTGAGTTCTCATGTTGTTTTTGTGATGTTATTTGCTTTGCTGCGTTATCTTTTACTACTGTTTTCAGTAAGGGCTCTTTCTTCGGTAGTTCACTGTAACCCCATCTTGGTACAAATGACCAGTTACTCTTCTTAGCAGGTTTGCTAGTTGGTAACGTTAAATTTAACACTTGTATATTATGTAAGGTTACATTATTTCCTTTCGTAGAAGGTTCTCCTGTTATAGGCAATGTTCTTGTTGAGTTATTTTTATCTCGTTGTTCAAGGACTTGTCCTATAACTTTGTCTTGTTCTTCTTGAAACTTCTTATCTTCAGCTGCAGAATCTTCACTCCATGAAGATCTAGCTTCACTTGTCATACTAGCATTACTATCAGAATGCTTGTGTCGTATAGGTGTCTTTCTTTTAGTTTTTTTATTATCTTCTTATTCTTTTTGTCTCTCTGCTATTTGTAATTTTTTATAGTTTACAGATACTTTCATTGCAGCGTTATCTCTCCATCTGCTATTAGCTCTTTTTTTTTCTTCTTCATTTTTACTTGTATTGGCTATTGCAGTCAGCTTAGCCATAACAGCTCTTCTATGAGGTTCTTTTAGATTTATATATTGTTCTGGTCTTATATCGAGAGCATCATCTGTATTCTTAATATATCGTATTTCTTCATTTTCTAAATCTTTATTATAAGTCCTCTGTGTTTTATCAGTTTGTTGATCATACCATTATATGATTTCAAACAGTTTTTCTTGTGATGTTTCATGTGACATAGTTTCTTTAAGGTTTTGCAGTAATATATCAATGTTTTTCATTTTGTCGACATGTGTCTAAGCTTCTTTATCACTCATTTTCTTAATTCTTTCAAAATTAGAATCAATGGTTGCTATCTGGTCTACGAGGTCTTTAAGTGTTTTAACTACTTCCTCGTTTCCTTCTTCTTCTTGTAACTTTTCTAATTTCTTTACTTTCGTTCCATATTGTCCTATTAACTGTCCAAAGGTTTTTGGGGTTGGTAGTGGTGTACTTTTGCTTTTCCCTGCAAAAGGTGTAGCTTGAAACTTGTTTAATGCTTCATTTGCTTTAAACATTAATTGTTCTACTTGTTTCTTTCTCATTCTATCGATAGATTCTTGTTTCCTAGGGTCTTGGTATCTTTCTTGACCTTCTAGTCATAATTGTTGGAAATGGTCTTGTAGACTTACTATTTCTGGCAATTCATATTTATTTACTGTTTGAGGGATTTTTTCTTTCCCTAATTCTTCTATTTTTTAGAAATCTGACTTGAACAGTAAATCATCACTTTGTAAAGTATCTTCAGGTTTAGTGTATTGTCTTAGTGTATACACTTCTCGTATTTGTTCCTGTTTCTGTTCTTCAGTTCTTCCAGGTGTTTCCAATATCATTGCTTTCATTTTGGAATGTTGTGCTAGCATTCTAAATATTTCTTGTGATAATTGTCCTTGTAGTAAATGTGCATGGACATCCTGTCTACTGCCATATACTGTTGCCTTCTGTTTTCTTATAGATCTATCTTTCTGTTTTATTTTTCTTTCTTTCATTACATTATTTATATGTAAGAGATGTATTTCATCTCCATACTTTTCCATGACTTCCTTATAGTCATCTAAGTATTTACCACATCCTGCTGCAAAATAATGTTGAGTGTTGAAACATAACTTAAGACGCTCTATTTTTTGCATTTGCGGTAGTTCATTTGGGCTTTCATGTATTACCACTTTAGTTAATAAATTCTTGTCTATACTGCTCTTGATTTCTAAGAGTTCTTCTATTTTCGCTCCATAGCACTTGTTGGCTGCTGAGTTTTCTAATAAGATCATGACGTCAGTGTTTACAGTTTGTCTCAGTATAGCTTCCAAGTTTTTCTTGATGTGATCCTTCTGGATCCCTTCTTGTATTGGTATTGTGTTCCTCGAGGCCTTTGTTCCTATATACAATACATATACTTTGCTTCCTATTGTGTGTGCGCGCTTTATTTCTTCAATTATTCTTTTGATTTTTCAATCAAATAATCCTTCTTGTATAGCATCATTGATGCTTAAGCCCATAGATGCGTGTATTACTATACGTGGCTTTACTTGCAATTGTGACAGCTTAGCTTGTATAAGCCTATCATTTTCTGTGTTTGGTATCCCTTCTTTTAGGGTTATCCAATTCTACATCATTTCATTCTTGGCATATTGTTGTGTTTTTCTGTATATCATAAATATTTGCACTATATTACTTCCTGTTCATATGATGGCTTCTTGAATTCCTTCCCAAGAACCATCACATATGACCCCAATTAGATATTTCCTTTTTTGATTAATTTCATTGTTTTTTAAATAGGTTATATTGCTCCTTATTTAAGTTAATTATTTCATAGTTAGGTATTTCATATGGATTATGGGTATATGTTTTCCCATTTTTAACAATTGTTTGGATTTTCCAGTTTTCTAAGGGTTTTTTCATAGGTCTTTGGCGATATTTTAAGGATTTGTATTTGTAGTTTTGCTTTAAAGGGCACCTTTTCCTTTTTGTTCGCCTGGATTCTCAAATTCATTTGGGTTGATAATTTCTAACGAAATTTCCAAGCTGGATGCTTCATTAGATGTATCAGAATCTGACTCTTCCGCGTTACTAGTATCCTCAGCTCAGATAAATCAGATGATTCATCACTCCTAAGAATATGTCCTCCTTTTTTGGCCGGATGTGGACTTATCTTGCTATTTAGTCTGCCATCACTTAGCACAGCTAAATAGGGCTGATCATCCGTTTGCTTGTGGTCTAGCTGTCTTTGGTTCGTTATGGGTAGACCCCATAATAAAATAAATTCCTCAGGTAGTTTGACCGTTATCACCAGTTGTCGCTTAGTTTTATTTGATACTAGAATATATTTTAAGTATGATCCTAATACGTCTATTTTAATATTTGTAAAGAAGTGTCTGTCGATTTTTATGTTGACGATTGCTTTTCTAATTATAGTAACATTGTTTAATCCTACAGCTTCTGCGGTTGATTTTCTGGGTAAAATTTGAAGTGTTGTTCGTTTTTCTTTAAAAGGTCTAAGTGGTTCTTTCCCATTATTGTGCAAGTTGATTCTTCATCAAGTTTGAATTCCATAGGTATGTTACATACTTTTCCATAAAAGTAAAATTCTCCTTTAGGGTCTAATTCAGTTTCAATAGTTTCTTTAGGCCAATATAAAGTATTTGTAGCAGAGTAATCATTTATTTTAGTTAAAGGTTTGGATATTTCTTTATTAATATAATATATCTCATTGTTACATAAATTTGCATTATCTTCATTTGAAGTATTTTGATTTAACTCTGTGATACAGCCTATTGGTTGTATTGGGAGTGAGTCCTGAGTATTATGCAGGCTCCCATTTAGAAATACTGCTCTGATAAAGTGATTTTTTCAAATTCTTCTTCTAATTCATTGTCAGAAGTAGATTCGTTTTCTTTTAAGTGGAATAATTCTTGGTAGGAGTTGCATAATTCTAGATACTGTTCGTATTCTAGATCTTGTTCTAGATTATGGATTTCATTGTTTCCAAATTTTTTATGGAGTTTTTCAAGTAATTTGAGTTCGCGAGTTCTCTTGCGAATCTCTTTTTGGTATTTACTATCTTGTCTATATTCTCATTTTCTTGAGTTGAATTGTTTTGGTACAGGTGGTTTATATCCAACATTATTTGGATTACTAAACTTAATAGGTTCTTTTGATTCTTGATATAATGGTTTTCCTTGGAAGTTTTTTCTGGTTTCCTTGTTTGTATTCTCGTTTTGGTCTGAAAGAATTTTGTGATTCTCCTTCTTTTTTGATATAAAGTTTTTCTTCTTTTTTGAATGGTGGTTTCGAAGAATCTGGTTTAGGTTTTCTAGATCTGTTGTTATCATTGTTGTATATAGGTTGTCCACTTTTAATTTTAAGTATCTTTATATCATCTCTTAATTTATTAATGATATTCTGGTAATGTTGTTTCTGCAGTTGGTTTTTTCTTTATTTTGATTGTTGTATCATTTGTCACTTTTGTTTTTATAATTCTGGTCTTGGTATAGATATTTAGCAAATCGTTTTGGGTTAGGACAGTTTTTTGCAAAATGTCCTTTTTGTCTACACTTAAAGCAGTGTAACTTCTCTAGGTCTATTACTGCTAAGTTTTGTTTTGCTGAAAAGAATGCTTCTTTACTTCTGGGTTTGCCATGTTTGCTTTGAAAATATTTTCCTACATCACTATTGTAGTATGCACTATAGATTCGTTCAAGTGCTTCAAATGCTGTTTTAAATGATGTTGGTGCTCCTGTAAATTGTAGTTAGAAAAAGTAGTCTTCTCCTTGGTAATGTCCTGTAGGTAGTTTTTCTTTAAGGTCTGTCTATGCTCCTCCTTCAAAGGATTGGTTAATTGCTGCTTCTTCTCGCATTTTATAATATGATGCTTTGAATAATTGTAATTCGAGATTGCTGAGGTATTGCGGTCTAAATACTAGTGCTTTGAATTTCTTTTGAGCTTCTGCTTGTGCTTCAGCACTGATATATTTGTTATGCATGAATAGTATCTATGAACATTGGTTTGATGCATTTTGAGGGTTTGTATCTATCCATCCTGCTTGAAAGGTTTCTTGACCTGGTTTTGGATTTGTAAGATTATAGTTTATATTTAAGGTTTCATCAAATCCTCTTTTATTTTTGATTTGTCCTTTTATTGATTCCCAGATATGTGAAGGTGTTCTTCCTCCATTTCCTTGGTTCCAGTCATTTGGAAACATGCATACAAAGTTTTGTCGCTTTTCAATAAATTCATCTTGGTATGGTTTTTCAAAGGTTTCTTGTGTTAGTCGGTCTAGAAATTGTTGTATATATAATATATTAAACATTCCTTCGAATTTATCATGATTAGTGGCATCATCAGGGTTTCTTCCTATCCGTGTCATATCATTATCACGGGTGTATCCATAATTCTGAGTTCCGTTAAAGAATCCTAATGTTAGTAGAGGTTCTGGTATATATGAGGTTACGTTATTCATGAGTGTGTTGAAATATGTTGTCTAGTTCTGTCTGTTAAATCTTACTCCCTTCATGATATCTTTAGAGTTATCTACTTTACTAAGGTCGGGAAATTTGGTTTCCTTGAATGTAGCCATTACTGCTGGTGGTGTCGCTTTAGATGATCCTGATGTACTAGTCATTAGATTTTATTTAAATCTTCTGGTGGAAATTGTATAGGTACTTGTTCTGAATATGCACAGTATCTTATATAGTCTTTTAAAGTTTTGTTTCTATTTGTAATGCCCAATTAAGTATTTCAGTTTCTTGATGCTTGTGTGCTAATATTACTAGTGCTATTTGTTTTTCTTCGTTATACTGGTTTGGTTGAGTGGTAAATAGTCTTTTTAGTCTATAAATTCGTTTTTGATCGTTATTAAATTGGTCTTTGCTGATAAGCTTTTCTGAGTATTTGTTATTATTAAAGTTTGTTCTAAAGGTTTCGTAGTAGGCTTTGTTATTCCTATAGTGTGTATAACTGAATGGGTATCTCCGGTTTAATGCTTCGCTGATGGTCATTAATTAGTGTTCTTTAGATACTTTTTGTTTGTGAACGTTGTTATATATTCTAAGTTTTGATTAAATTGGGATGCTATATCTTGTTGATATTCAATAGGATCGTTTCTTCTGATACTATATACTAAGTATGCTTGTTTATATTCTTCTGTTAATGTAAGGGGTTTGTTAGTATTAATTAGTAATGTTATCTTGTTGTAGATTATTTGCTCTTCTTGTATAAGTGGTTTATACACTAGTGGTTTAACTTTATATTCCAAAAGGTCGAGTTGTTTATCTAATTTGTTCCAATCAATTGAATAATCAGAGTTAATAAATGGCTCGCTTTTGTAAGCTTGTAGGTCTTTATAATGCTTCGGTATGTTCATTAATTATTGCGAACAGTTTGATTAATGATATCGTGTGTTCTTAAGGCTTCTTCGTTTATGTTTTTGATTTTTCTTTCATTTTCTGCTATATTTTGTCTCTACTTGATGAATACGTATAATAATATTGTGAATATTATTGTTATTACAATTACAATATTTTCTGTAATTGTATTTGGGTCTTGAAAGAATCCAGGTGTTACTGATTCGGTAGTTACAATAGTCGAGGTAAAGGCTGTTGCTGTTGGTTGTATAGTTTGTACTTGGGTATATATGATTGTTTGAAATATTGTTGGTGTTGGTATAATTATAGTTGAGATTTGTACTTGTTGACGTTCTTGCATTAAATAAATGGTGACTTATATTTACTTCTTTTAGGTGATATTGGTTTATACGGTAAGTTAGATTTAGAATAATTTGGTAGTTGTCCTAAATATGGCGTAATATGTCCTGGTGGTGCTGGTAATGATCTAGTAGGTTTGATTGGTCTTTTTGTAGGATATGCGTTTGGTACACTATCTCCTATTAGTTTGAATACTTCGTTGTATCGTTGGTTTGGCCTTTGGAACTTGGCTATAGTTCCTTGGTTTTGTATATTTGGTTGGTTAAGAAAGTTATTATGTGCATGTGCTTGTTGTGCATAAAGAGATGGGTCAAGTAATGTTTTTCCTTTGTTCTTCTTTCTTTTAAATAAGAACATTAATTAGATAAAAGGCGTTGCATCTGCGGTATAGTCTATAGGTTCTTGATGTTTTCTTTTCTTTTGTTTTTGAACTTATCCAACGATTCTAATAAGGGCTAGTATCAGTGATATAACAATTATGATAATAATTAAAGTAATTATATCAGTGGGTTGTGTTCTAGGTTGTATGCGCATAGGTATATTTAGAGTATAATGCAAGTCGATTCTTGTTGTTGAGCATAATATCCAACATCAGGGTGGTTCTTGTAGATTCTCTTTTTATACTTTTGTTGTAAGCAACAGCAAAGTACGATTGTCAATATGTATAATATTGCTAATATTACTATTGTAAATATGAGATATAGTTGTGTTTGATTTTCTTGTTCACAGTTGTTGATTTCTGTATTGTTGATTATGGTAGACATTCCAATTTTGGTTGTTTATATTTTTCTAGCAAGTTCGCATTTTGTGTTGAAGCTTTATATTATTTAAGATTGTATATGACTATTCTAATATTGGTAAGAAGATTAATTATGATTACTAATATTAATTACTAATGCGATTATCCTATTGTTCAAATAGCATGTGTTATCTTATGTTTGTTTTCGGTTCCAAGATAGTATGGATGCTGTATCTGTAAAATTTCTGTCGGATTGTTCAGTTTCAGTTTGATATCAGTATTTTCTTCCTGGTTTAGTTAAAGGTGGTAATCCTGTTCCTACAACGGGTGGTCTTTTTGGTCTTTTATTTCCTTTAGAGTTTAGAGCTTGGTTTGCTTTTAATTGGTCTGCTAATCTGCTTATCTGTTCAGGTGTTAATTCACGTTCTATCGGTTGTTGTGTAAATGATAAGACTAGCACTTGTTGATTATTATTAGGTAATTGTTAGGCTTGTTGTTGATACTGGCGTTTCTTTCAGTTTATTCTCTTTAGACAGTAAAGTACTATCCCAATTATAGCACTTAATATTGTTGCTATAATACTAAGAATTTCGATTACTAATGTCTTGTTAATCTCGGGCGTTGGTGCTATATTTGTGTTAGCTACGGTTGTTGGTTTTAAGGAGTTGCTGATTGTCAATGGTTTATCTTGGATGTTAGGAGCTGTTTCACTTGGCAAAATTGTTGGGTTGATGTACTTAGTGTTGGGAAAATTGTTATCGGGATTGCTAAATCTGCGTTAGGTATATTATGTAACAGTATCATATTTTCTTTTGTTTTTGAAACAATTCTTGGAGTTCTTGATTTATTCGGTTTAGTGCAGTGAAGATTATAATTCCAATGATTATTTTCCAAATTAGGTTGTATTTCATTCTTGAATATAGATAAGATTCTACGCTATTCTTGTGGACGGAATTTAAGAGTGCTTTAAGACTTTCTTATTTTGCTTCTTTTAAGAGCGTGAGCTTCATTAAGTGTGGTTTAAAGAGGATGATCGTAAATAATCTCAATTGTAAATAATTCTTCTTGAATAGGTAAATTCTTTAAACTTCGGGTTTTCTATTTTTTGGTAGTCTTCTTGCAATAGGTTTTCTAATTTTTTATTCTAAAAATTTTTGTAAATTCCGACATGGTTATGTTTTTATTATTATCTCGATATAGCTTTCCTTAGAGGTTCGCGACTTCCTATTAGTTAGCATGGTATACTTATTGATAAGATTTTTTCAATAGAATCTTCGTCAAGATATTTTTATTATACAGTCTTGAAGGTTAATGTATCTTTTATGACTTATTGCATTAGATACTTCAATGTGTATAGACAATATAGTTTTTCTTTTAATAAAATAGTTTCTTTATTATAAAGATATTTAATACAAAAGTAAAATGTAATAGCTAATATGTTTATTGTACTGGAGCGTTAGCATATTATATATTCCTAAACTAATGGGTTGTATTGTGATATTATAATGATAACTTTAATTCAATAAAGTTATATACGGGTGGAAGCAGGTTTGAAGTTGGTCAACAACTTCTCGAAGTTAAATATTTATAGTGGTAATAGGTAATAGTAGTAATTGCAAGGGTAATAATTCTAATACTATCAAAGGGCTAAATAAAAGAATTTTATTACAAGGTTTTACGGTGAGGTGAAAACGGGTTGTTTAAATACATTTTTGAGTTTTACAAAATTTGAATAGATTTGTAAGCTAATTTTTCTAATTTATTCTACTACGTTCTACATTAATCAATAAATTGGTAACTATACTAAATATGATTTCATTTCGATTCTTATCTTCGAGTTTTCACGAGTTTCGCATTTTGGCGTTGTTTTGATTTGCGCAAAAATAGTTAATTGGTCGGGTTGATCTGGTTATCTGGTTCGGGATTCGTTGATCAGTTGTAATTCGGGTTATCACTTCGGATTTCCTTAATTTCTATAGTTTCGGTCAAATGTGCGATTTTGGTAATTGATGGTCGCCGTTGAATTTTCCGGACAAGCTAAAATGCTATTGAGCCCAAAGGTTAACCGACCGGTCAAAATTATGACTGATACCGATGCCAGATTTTGAACCCGTCCATAAATTTGATATGCTTGATTGATAGATATTGTGATATTATCATTGATCTGGAATTACACTTTGACAAAAAATAGGTTGCATTGACTCTTGTATAATTATAAAGATCGTTGAGCCTACGTTCCTGGTTTTAGTGCGATAGCGTCGCACAGCTACCTTATTCCACAATTCTACATGCATGATATTGTACTGTACGTACGTACGTACGTAGAATTGACAGAATTGATGATCATTAATAATTTTAGTAACTCTACAATTCTAATTATAGATACAATTCTACATTTGTAGAATTGTAGAATTGTCGATCATTAAAAGCACATTATTCATAAAAGTTACATTTTTGATATACTATAATCCTAATGTAAATTTATAATTTTGCAATTATTTATTCAAATTATTTATTCAAATTACTTATTCAACTTATTTTATTCAAATTATTTGAGTATCGCTAAAGAAAACCCGAAAATTTAAATATTACTTATATTTAAATTTTCGGGTTTTCTTTTAGCGACACTCATTTATTCAAATTATTTATTCAAATTATTTATTCAAATTATTTATTCAAATTATTTATTCAAATTATTTATTCAAATTATTTATTCAAGTTATTCAAGAATTTATTTAATAATTGCATTATCATCAAATAGCTTCGTTATTGATGATGACGCATTTTATCCTTGCTAGTTTTAAGTTTTGTCATTTTCACCATTTCGCCTAACAGGTATAGTATAGTCGACTTTTCTTTATAAAAACCTTAAATTAATTGCAAATTATAAATTTACGTTAGGAATTATAGTATATCAAAAACGTAACTTTTATGCATAATGTGCTTTTAATGATCGACAATTCTACAATTCTACAAATGTAGAATTGTTTCCAATTATTATTGCTCGGTCAGATGACTTTATTTAAAACACAATGCATAACTTTATTTAACAAAATCTGAAAACATATGGGATAAGGGCTTGCTACCCTCGGCGGCTCTAATATACATTATCAATACTCCAAATATGGAGTAAACAATTTATCAAATGCTACACAAAATTGTCACCAATACCGCTCCGTA